TGATATACATTAGCTCAGACCACTTCAGATGTTCGCAAAGCCCTGCCTCCAACTGTCCGCATTACGGAGAACAGCATGGAATCAGAAAAATGTTCGATTCGACATTAGCAAGTTAAAAGGTCCAGAAACTTATGCGCTTTTCCAAGACGAGATCAGCAGTAGATTCAGTTCTGTTAAAGGGTATGAGCTGCCGTGGCTCTTAGCTTTATACCAACAGCTCAAACGGGGTATCGTCAGGGCTGCAGTAAATATACTCGGCTGAAGCAAAAAAATGAAGCATTCGCTGTTCTCGGTAGAAATCCTCACTCTTTACCGAAGAATAAACGCGGCGAAGCAGGAGTTCTTACAGAACCCTGAAGGGACGAGGAAGTGAGAGTATCAGCATTTCGTGAATTCAGTCAACAAGAGTTGCCGCTGTGACAAGCGACACTGGATGGAGCTCGAATCACAGAACCCGGAAGATTCAGCTTTGAAGAAGGAATGGAAGACGCTCTACAGACAAGTCATCATCATCACTGATGGCCTCAAACATAAACCCTTAACTTGTCTATTTCCAGATTCAGACACCGTCGGTGTTGGGCTGAACAGTTAGGAGAGCGCCATAATCGACCTGCTCCAGTGAATGACCTGGAAATAGAGTTTGAAGATTGGGAAGACCTTAAAATTGGCTGCTCCGTTCTATCGAAGGATGAAATCCGATATACCGTACGTCTCTGCCGAAATCTTAAACCTTGCAGATACGACAGGATTAGTGCGGTATTTCTGAAGTACTCTGACGAAACCCTACTGAACTACATCCATCTGGTTTTGACAGCATCTGGCGGAAGGCGGAAAACCCTGAGAAATGGAAACAGGGCGTGGTCATTTCATTATTAAAACGTGGAAATCATTTTGATTTCGTCAACTTCCGCGGGGTCACGCTGGAAAAGGTATTCGCGTGAATCCTCCTCTCAAAACTCAAGAGCGCAGTTGACGATTCGCTTCGATCAAATCAAACAGGGTTTCGAACTGGACTCTCATGTTACGGATAACATCACCGTACTAAAAAAAAGATCATCGAACAGGAAAGGAGCTTCCAACTACCTTGACATGTAGTTTTCCTCTACTTCCGAGCAACTTTCGACTCAGTCCTTGTGACGCATGCAGCGACATCATGGAGTACCACAGAAGAACATCGGTCTCCTGGAAGGACTGTATGAAGGAATTAAGGGCCCTATCAGAGCAGAGTCGTTGTCGGACTGGTTTAACATCAGTAATGGAATTAACTCACCAGAACCATCTTGCGAACACCTGACTCGACTAACGATTCTTAGATTTAATTGAGCGGAATGACTGTCCAAAAGGTCGGAAATTTCAAGTACCTCAGCTTTGTACTGGCAAGAGATAGAAGCTGCGATATGGAAGTAGAGCGGCGCTTAGGGCTGACATGAACTTTGTGGGACCTTCTAAAATGTTGCAAGACGGATCAACACCGACAGCAACAAAGATCACCATACTGAAACTCGTTCTCAATCCTAATGTACAGCCTTGAAACATCAACCTGTTTAAACATCCACAAAAATATCAGACAATTTTCAGCAGAACTCCGCCTTTGCCGGGCCCAAGCCCGGTTGAAAAAGCAGGACGGTTGGAGACCGTGGCGAATTTTCTCTAACATTTCCCATCTGCCCTTCATGGGATTTGACGTCGTCAAAAATTTGACGTCGCTGGGTCGTCGCCCGGGTTACCAAAGGCCGCACAGGCTGTTGGGGGACTGGTGCAGGCTACGAAACGTCATCTATCACAACATGCTCATTGGCCTTTGCCACCTGTGGGCGTAGCAGCACGATAACCCCTGAGGAATATCGCCGGAACGACGACAAAGATACCAGTTATCAACGGAGTCGCTAGCCGTTCTCAACAGAGGAGGCAGAGACCGCGATATCATTATAGTACGTCATAACAGACCCCACGACACTGCCAGTGGAAGCTTAAGATCAGAAACTGGATTATATTCTCACTCAGGGAGAGAGCCAGAGTTAGTTGATGAGGCCATAAGGTCCCAACTCAACATAGTTGAACCCTCGTTGATGAAACGCCAAGGTTCTTGAATCCTGAACTTCTGCGGCTGGAAGCTATTTTACTCAGGTCGATATCACAACGCGCGCTCCGACCGGTATTCCTCTGGCAGAACGCAACCTCGCAGATAGAAACATTGATTGGAAGCCTGTTAGCAAAAGGGTGGCAATCCTCCGACTGAAGCTACAACAGGCTAAACCGTTAACTTTGTTAAAGGTCTACGCTCCCAATTTCCAAGGAAAATATGACTCTTCCTTGAGGAAGTAGAGTGTGCTCTGTACGAAGGCCGAATACGAGTCTCCCATACTCATGGGCGATTTTAATCCGCATGTCAGAGTAGACGCTGAAAAGTGA